TCCTCCATCTGCTGATCGGGGTCTTCCGCCCATCCGCGAGCGTTCCTTTCCGAAGAGGAGCAGTGCACATCGAAGTTAGGGAGGCTGGCGTAGTACTGCATGCACTGCACACAGCCAGCGCTGGCCGCATATAGAAATTTGTACTCCAGTTGACGATCTTCATCCAGATGTCCATGCCTTTTTTGCCAGCGGGGGCAATGAGGCTGGTTTTCACAAGGTGTGTACTCCACCGATGTATCACTACTGTCACTAGACATGCTGCTTGACGACGAGGTATCGCACGGAACTTCGCCTGTCTCTGCGGCCGTAGGGCTTGGTGACCTCGGAGTGGAGGAAGGGCCAGGGCCTCCGGCCGCAGTGCTGGGTGTCCGCGAAGGAGCACTTGCCCATGTAACACCGGAGCCCGGTGTCCGTGAAGCAGAACTAGGACCACAGCCTTCGTTCGCAACGTCCGGCGGCGACGGGGGTGGCGGGGGGACATTTCTTGCCCAATGAATCGAAATGTCTGAGAGGAAATGCCAGCGCCAGCAGCAGCAGCACAGCCTCCGCCCGCGGTGTTGGATTGCCGCGGAGGGGCTTTAGGCCAAACTTGCCGCGGGGAGGCACTTGGCCACGCTGAAAACGGTTTTTGCCGAATCTCGCACCATCGCTCAAACCTTTGCATCTCAGTGTCGAGCCATGTCTGGAACCCTGCATCTGCGGCTTCGTTCCGAAGACCGTCTCTCCGTACCATGCGATGCTGGTTCCTCACAGTGTGCACGTCTATCCATTTAGCACCGTGAGAATCCAGCCGCAATTTTGTTAAAAAATCACCGAAATCAGCCATCCAGCAACTGAGCTTTCGCGAGACGGCGCCGATTCAGCGATTCCCCGGGAAACTATGAACGTCCACGGAGCCAAAAGCTTCGTTGACCGACCATCATGTCGCAGGAGGCAAGTTACCACGTGCAAAGACTGCATGCTTCAATAGGGCTCGGGCACCAAAGCATAGATGGACGTCGCCGTAGAGCGCGAGCAATCACCTGATGCAAGGCGGCTGCGTAGAGGCATTGCAACAACTCCAAGCAGTGATGCTTCACAAATTGAATCACAACCTGACGTAATTGCTATAATACTCGATTCGGCCTCCCATGTTGCAGAGGAGGACACTCGGGTGCCGACCTCGGACCCAGCCAGCACGTTAGCCCATTTGCCTGGCTGTCATCACCAGGTGTCCGCTCTGGTGGTTGGCCCCGAGTCCTCGTTCGGTTCCGTCTTCCACGGTCCCCCAAAGCGACCCCATGCCCGGCCATCGGCATGCAAGCGCGGCTGGTGAATCAAAACTGGACACACCGCGACTTGTTGGTAAGGTCGATATGACAACAGAGACACTACAATCTTCAAGAACTAGTTCGTCGGTAAGGCCGCTGAACAAAGCAAGCGAATCAATCAACGGGTCTCCCTCACCGGATCCGCCGGCGAGGTACGGACGCACCGGCCCTCTGTTCAGGCCACCCCCAGCGGGCGCATTAGCGCATCGCCCCGCTGTCATACCCCTCGGGCTTTGGGGCGTTGGCCTCAAGGGTGGCCGCCACGAGTGGCCGCTCAGACATCAGTGGCGAAGCATGTAGCTCCGGGATTGGATCACCGGCTTCCACCAACGACCCAACTTGGTGGAACCCGGCAGGTCTCTAGGGCCCCCCTCGGCCAGCCCGCTGTTCAGGTTTAGGTCAAGGCATGCGAGGAGGCTCATCAAAAGCAAGCGCAGCACGCCACTAAACGCAGGTATCAGTAACCCCAAAGCAATCCAAGCAACAGAGCAATCCAATTGCAAGACGCGGAGTCTCTTTTTTTTTATCGGCGGACCTGATCAAGTCTCGGCACTTAACGTCCTCAGGATTTCTTCGCCGTCTTCAAGACATGGCGAACCAAAGCAAGTGTACTCGGAAACCTCTTCTTAGGTCCGGGCTTTTCCTTCACCAGGCGTTTCCCGTGTTTCTGAAGGAAAGCAAGTATGAGCGAAGCACGATTACAGGTGTAGAAGTCATCACCCAAAATTCGAGTGCCTTCCATGCTTTGCGTGAAGCGACGTGTAGGACTGGGGAGAATCTTCACTCGAACTCCATCAGAATCTTCATCCATCATGCGCAAACGTCTCCTGGGCCTCTTCGGTGCCGATTCCGGTGGTGGACGAGGAGCAGCGTCCTTGACTGGTGACTGAATGAACTGCGAGCTGATCTCTGCCTCATCTTCCATGAGTGCAGAATCCGGATCAGAATAAACCCCCGGCGAGATGCAATGAGACGTCGCATTCGAAGAAAGATCGTTGTTCATGAACTCACTCGTGTCGTCCGCATAGACTGACGAAGAACAGCTCATCTGCTCAGAATAAACCTCCGCCGAGATGCAATGAGACGTCGCATTCGAAGAAAGATCATTGTTCATGAACTCACTCGTGTCGTCCGCATAGACTGACGAAGAACAGCTCATCTGCTCCGAAATGAGAAGTGTGCGTTCGCGCATGCGATGGCGTTGTCGTGTGCGGCGACAGCGAGCGACCTGCGTTTTGACGCGAGCGAAACCTTAGGCTCATACTCTTTCCTCCCTTCAAATTTTATCATTTAATTTTCGGCACTTGTGCTCGTCTTGCTTTCAACGTGCCTTTGTTCGTTGACATCCTCAGCATGACGAAGTTTTGGGCCCAAGGTCAGCCGAAAATTTCCGTTCAGGCTTTCTAGAGGCCTGTAATTCTGTCTAACGGGTCTGAGTCCTCTGTACCTCGGTGTTGCTCTTAGAGCACCGTGCAAGACTGCCCTGGTGGGGCAGTCGGATGGAAGAGGCCGCTCCGGCAGGTCTCGCTGCGTCCGAGGCGTCTGAGCACCCTAGCAGCCTCTCGAGTTTTGAGGCTTTGTCCAGCCATCTTTATCGCTTGCAGATTTCGCACGACCTCCTTGAGTCTCGTGTCCGCGTGGCCGAGGATCGCTTAGATTGGTTGGACAGGCAGGCAGCAAGCTCAGCCGCTCGTATCTCCTGGCTTGAAACTTTCATTGCACATTTGCGGCATCTGTTTCGCCGCTTCATTTGAGTTCTGCTTGCGCCTGCGCGCGCTTCTGCAGCGTTTGGGCCTGCACTGGCTTTCTGTGAGCTGTAGTATTTCTGCATACCTTCTGTGCGCGGCAGCCCATGGACAGAGCCCTGACCCGGCGAGCCGTCTGGGTCCATGACAGTTTTGCATTGCATCGGCCGCAGACCTCTTCCCGCACTGCTGAGTTCGCTCATCGAGTCGCTTTCGACAAATTTTGTGAGGACATGCAGACACAGCAGGAACCGCTGGCCGAGCAGTTGGCCCGAGAAGCCTGGGCTCGCCATGACATCGACAACCTCGATGCTGCTTCTTTGACGCCTTCGGAATCTGGAGATGTCGGGGAAGAACGCGACCCTCACACCGTCTTCGCTGGTCTATCCGATGAACGCAAAGAAGCCTTGGCTGCCGGATCCAGCTGGGAGGCACCGACCAGGATGCATCGTGCTCCCTCTGAGCCGCCGGCTACAGATTCGGACCGGGGCCATGGTGATTGGTTGCGCGGCCTCAGTGGCCGTCTCGATGACGTTGAGAGCTTTTGCGGGTCAATCATCGACCCCCGGTTCTCTCGTAGTCTTCATGCTCGCTTACTCCGAGTGGAGCGCCTGCTGAACGTCCCTGAGCAGTAGCTGTGTGCAGCTGGCAGACCGCACTTGCTGGCGACCATATCACACTGAGTGCACCGGATCTCTGGTCCAACCCTGAGAAATCCGGCCGTGCGCCTTTGCCTTTCAGTTTCAGTGCACGTTCCTGCATGCGCTTGCACATGTGCTTGTGGTGAGCTGTCCTGTCTTGATCTGAGCGCCTTGCTTTCCGCCAATATTCTCAGCGGGGGATTCAAGCCCCATTGGCTCTGCTCGGTCGCCGCTCACTTTCGAGGTTCGGATGTCTGCAATGAGTCCTTTTCTAGCTTTGCTTGAGCAGGCCAGATCTCTTGATGTACTGAGGTGGCCCATTTCTCAGCAACCCGGGCTGTTGAAATGTACTCCTGGTAAGCTGTCACTCAGTCCTTGTTGCAGGTTGCTGTCGACATCGTGAGCTTCAGGCCGCTCTTATCCTGGCAAGCCGGTGCCAGAGTGTGGCAAATCTTTCGGGAGGTCGATCCGTCTGGTGACCGACGTCGTGGACTTCAGGCTGCCTTTCGCCCGGCAAACTGGTGCTGGGATGTGACGAGACCAGTCTAGAAGGTCGGGTCCTCCTGGCTGCGGCGACTTCCGCAGTCTGACTCTCAGCAGTTCCACTCCCAGCAAACTGGGCTGGGAATCGGCATGACTGCTTTGCGGCAGGAGACAACTCTCCTGTTGAAGCCGCGATCTCCTCAGTAACCGGTCTGAGCGAGTCATCCGATTCGATGTTCCGAATCTCAGCAAACAGGAGTTGGGAATCTTCGTCACTGCCCCGCGGCAGTTGGCGTTCTCCTGCCGAGCCGTGGGCTCCTCAGCAACTGGGTTGAGTGAGTCACCTGGCGTGGCGGTCTCGCAGGTCTGAGACCCTAGTCCTCCAGACTGCCAAGTCGTGGGCTCCTCAGCAACTGGGTTGAGCGAGTCACATGGCTTGGCGGTCTCGCAGGTCTGGGACTCTGGTTCTCTGGGCCGCTCGAAGGCTTTGATACCAATCATGATATGCGTCGGCTCGCAGTGGCCGACTCAAGTTTCTTATCATGCCTTATGCGACTTTCGTGGCAGCCCTTTCAGGTCGGCGATCCATGCTTCGGCCCGTGATCTGCCTCATGTTGGACGCCTGCCGTGAGTACCGGGACTTGTTAGCTCCAGCCATAACTCGGTTCAGCACCAAAACGTGTGTGCCGTTGAGATGCTCCGGATTGCATTGTTTGCTACACTGCTTCCATTCGACAGCGGGGTTGCCAGCATCGCCTTGTTGTGCACAGGTTCCAGAGCTTAACTGCACAGTGTAGTCGATCGGTGTTCGCCCTAGCGACATGGACTCCTTGACTGATGAACAACGGGAGTACCTTGCCACACTGAATCGTCGTGGCCCGGCTAGGCTGCGTGGCGCCAGTCGCTCTCGCAGCCGCGACCGCCGTGCCATTGCTTCTTCGGCCGATGAGCGCTCTCGCCCTTGGCGTGCACCGAGTCCAATGCTGGTTCAAGGACCACCTCCTCTTGCGGAACAGGTGCGGCTCATACAGAGCAGTATTGAGATGATTGAGCGCCGCCTGACCAACCTTAACATTGGTCAAACGCAGCTGCTCATGGTGCTTGGACACCACCCAGACTTTGGGGTTCCGTTCGGGGCCATCGCTGAGTTTGTTGACACCATGAAGGCCACCGTTCAGGACATCAAGGCGTCGATTGAGGATCTTCGCGCTAATTCTGCAGAGCAGTGCATGCTTCTTAGCAGCCGCCTTGACCGCCTCGAGGAACTGGTTCAGGCTCGCACGTGACTGGATCGCCTGGTGCCGACTTAGCTCTGTTGTGACAAAATGTGCCACTCAAACCTAAGTGAGGGTTGTCTAGGTGCCGGTGAAATTTCATGCAGCCTTTGCATTGTTGCCTTATGGCCTGTTTTCTTCTCGAGATCGGGGCCCATGGTGAACTTCCGCCGCCGATGGAGTTTGCAGGCATCTCAAGCCTCTGAAGATGCTCGATCCCGGAGTCCTTCCGTTCGCATTGTTGAAGCAGCAGAGCGTGCTGATTCTCTCTTTCAGGAGCATTCACCTCTGCTTTCGGAAGATGCCAGATCCTGGAGTCCTTCCTTTTTCAATGCTGCATCGCGCGCCGGTTCTCCCCTTAGAGGTCTGGCTGACAGCGACCACGGCCTAGATCCGGCCCCCGAACGCAGCTCGGGCTCCGATGGATGGGAACGTGTGGGATCTGCACTGCCTCAGGACCCTGGTCCGGTCCTGAGTTCCGAAGTTCAGCGAGCCGTGGTGTATCAACGTGATGTGTCCCTGCCGAAGCTTCCCTACGAACATGGCATTTGGGGCCTCGTCTTTGGGTCTCCTGCATCCCTGCCCACCACCCGTTTCCCTGCACCAGTTGGTCCACGGCCTCAACCGATCCCCACCCCTCCCGACCCGTCCACGAATTCCCTAGAGCTCTCTTCTGCCGCAGCTCCCCCAGACATCAGCCTGGCCCGGATCAAAGCTGCCACTTTTCGTGTCACTGATGCGGCCCTTCGTGACCGTTGCTTGGTGCAGCTCAAGACTCTTTTGCTTCTTGACCCGTCGGCCACCAAGACCGGTATTCAGATGACTACGTGCTTCGGCAAAATTTTGGAACCTGACCGAGCCCTCTTGGTTCTTCAGGACACGTTGCGGCCCAAGGCCACCGGCACCATCAGCAAACGCACAGGCTCTCTCTGGCGCTTGGCTCACTACCTGGCCTCCGTGGACGGCCGCAGCCCCTTCATGGTTTCGGAGCCCCTTCTCTATGAGTATCTCTGCTCACTTCGTGAAGCTGACAGTGGTGCTACTTCCGGCGCCTCCGCTTTGGAGGCCTTGCGCTTCGCTGACGGTTTGTTTCGCTTCCAGCGGATCTCTCTGCGTGAGGTGGACAGCGCCCGCATTCGTGGTGTGGCGCATGCCATGTATGTTCGCAAACAAAAGCGCAAGCAAGCCCCTGCCTTGACTGTTCGTGCCATCCGCTTCCTGATGGCATGGTGCTGCGACCCGTCCCGGCCTCTGCATACGCGCATTATCTCTGGCCACCTTCTTGCGTGCATCTTTGCAGTCGCGCGTTGGTCTGACTTGCGCTTCCTTGCCTTCTTCCGGGTGCTCTCTGACGACGAGTTCAGCATCTTCGAGTCCGCGACTTCCCAGCACAAGACCGCACACTCCAAGGAGGCCCAGGTCGAGCTCCTTCCATTCATTGGCTTAGGTCAGTGGCCGGGCTGTGAGTCATGGGCTGCGTGTCTTGCGACTCTTCGAGCCGAGTCCGACCTCTCGCAGGGCCTGCCATCCTGGAACGAACGCGAGCAGAAGTGGGCTCTCGGTGATCCCATGACTACTTCCGAGGCCACTGGATGGTTGCGGGAGATCCTCTCTCATGAGCTTGACCCCACCGATGTGCGGGCACTTCGTGCCCACTCCTGCAAAACCACCTTGTTGGCCTGGGCTGGCGTGAGCCCTCTCTTCACTCGTGAAGAACGCACATTGCTTGGACATCACATTGAGGCTTCTACTCGGTCGGCAACTACATACGACCGCCAGGCCATCATTCGTCTTCAGGCCAAGGTTTGGCACTTGCTGATTTCCATCGACTCCGGCGAGTTGAGTCCTGATGCTGACGCTCTTGGCCGACTGCGTTCCATGGTGCAGGTGCATGCGCCCCGTCCAGCTTCTGCTCAGACCTCCGAGGAGCCTGCATCTAGCTCTTCTTCCGATGATGAACCCGCCGGTCTTCCTGCACCGCTACATCGAGATCGAGTTCCCCTGCCGGCCGCCGCCTACGAGTACGCCTGGCTTGTGCACTCTGTGAGCGGTATTGTCCATGTGCAGTCTCCCCACTCACCTGAGCGTCTGATGTGCGGCCGCTCCATTTCTTGCAATTTTGAGTGTGTTTCGCCGGCTGACCTTGATGTTGAGCAGACTGCATTTTGTGGCCAGTGCAGCGCCTCACGTGTGCTGTCCGCCGCTGCATGACTGTGCCTTGCCGAGAAAATCGCTTTGTGCCTGCCTTGCCTAGACTTCGCATTTTGCCTCTGCCTCAGCTTGTGGTCTGTGCCTGCACCGAGTTACGGCTCACCACGGCAATTCAGACTGCGCCATGGCCTTGGATTCTTCAGCTACTTTCGAGGCTCGCTGCCTATAGAGCTCGGATTGGCCGCAACCTTTGTGCAAGAGCTGCATACCGGGGGCATCGACACGTATGCCTCTCTTGCCTTCTGTCAGCCACACCAGGCTAACAGTGGAATCGACGATGTTGCACTTATGCGTCATGTGGGCTCGCTCGTCTCTTCAGCTCTCTCGGCTCACCAGACCACTGCCCTGCGCCGCCTTGCGTTTGAGGCGCAGGCTCTGGCTCTTCAAGATCTGCGCAGCAAGCTTGAACGCACCTCAGATTCCGAGCCGAAAGTTCTTCCCTTACAGGAGAAACTCGAGCGCAGCTCTCGCCTACAGAATCGGCTCGTCGGGGTCACCTTCACAGATCACAATCAGCCTGCGCATGCCCTGGTGGACAAGGCATCTCAGCAGTTCGATGAGGGCGTCCTTCAATACCTGCAGCTCAACAAGTGCATCAGCCGTTACCAAGAGGCCCTTGCTGAACGCTCTTCCGCTTCTCTGCGCTTCGGCTCGGATGGTGCCATCAAGGTGTCGCGGGAGTCCGCGGGTGGTGAGTGCGATATCTCCACTGCCCACCTCCTTCGTGCCGCTTTTCAGCGGCGGGCCATGGCTTACGACATCGCGGGTGTTGCCACCTACGAGGCTCTGGATGCCTGGGCCCAGAATCTCTTTGATCGTCTTTCGACTCCTGTGCCCTCCAGTCGTTACTCTCCTATTGGCCTCGAGCAAATTTTGGCAGCTGACAAAGCCCTTTGGGTTCGCTTGTCTCAGCTCAGTCGTGGGCTTCTGGGCCGCAGTGACGCCGCCACCGGTGCCTTGCTGGTTGACAATTTGATTCTGGATTTGAGCAACCACCCCGAGGTCGTCTGGCATTTCCTCCCGCTGGCGAATGCTTCTCACACCCCACCTCCCAAGCCTCATGCTGCACAGGCCGCCCGCAAGCGCAAACGCCAGCGTGCCTCCTCTGCTCCACCTGTGCCTGCTGCGTCACCGGGTCGAACCCCTGCGAAGGGCCCAGGCAAAGGCTCCGGCGCCGGCTCTCGCATCCAAGTGCCTGATGGCTGCACCATTCGTTTTTCCAAGGGCCCCATTTGCATGAAGTACAACCTGGGGACCTGCCGCGCTTCTCATGTGAAGCCTGGCGCTCGTTGCAGCAACGGCTACCACGTGTGCTGGAAAATCGGATGCCACCGCCATAAGCCGGCCTGCGAGTGCAGCCACTCGTGACTACACGAGCCTTTGCAGACCGGCGATTTTGTCTCGCCGCCCCACGCCGGTCACCCTGCTGAGCAATTTGCGGCCCGCTTTGCCAACTCTGTTATGACTGCCGAGCAAGCCTATCAGCTTTTTGAACTTTTGCCTGCTGAGACTCCGGCTCGTGCTGCATCTATGCTGCCTCAGTCAAAGTCTTTTACCACTGGAGCCTTTGCATACTCCAGCGGACCCGGCTTGCGTCGCCACACCCGTGTTTTCCCTTTGGCGACCAAGGCCCTTGCCGATTTTGTGCGAGCTACCTGTGGCACGCACTCTTTCTCCAGCATTGCTATATTCCGCGATTTGACTGCTCCCCTGCATTTGGACGCCCTTAACCAGCCGTCCCAACCCAACCTGCTCATCCCTCTCACGGCATTTTCAGGTGGAGGCGTGTGGTATGAGTCCCCCTCCGGCACTTCTCATCGCCTCTTGGACGGTGTCGTGACGCCTGGTTGTGTGCTTGATGTGGCCTCCGGGCCCGTCTTCCTTCCTGCTGCCGAGGCGCGTCACCAAACGCTCCCTTGGGAGGGCACTCGCTGCGTTCTGGTTGCCTTCACTTCTCTTGACGCGCACACCCTGTGCCCCGCCGATCTCGACACTCTAAGTCGCGCCGGCTTCTCTTGTGGCGCACCTGGCATGCCAAACGCTCTGCCTCCTGTCCCGCAAACCAGCCTGCGACCCATGGCGGTCGAACTTTGCGCCGGCTCGGCCTCCCTGTCGGCCGCTCTTCGCGCTGCTGGCTTCGCCACCTTGGCGGTCGACCACCACTGGAATACGCATCCTCCGCAGCACTCCATCTGCCAGCTGGATCTCAGCTGCCCCCAGCAACAGGCTCTCTTGCTCCGATGGATGCGCACACAGCCGCTTGCACATGTGCACCTCGGCCTCCCCTGTGGCACTTGTTCGCGGGCCCGCGAACGTGCTCTGCCTCACGGTGTGCCTGGGCCCGCCCCGCGGCCTTTGCGTAATCTGCTCCACCCCCTAGGCCTCCCTAACCTCACCCCTGCCGAACACCGCCGCGTCTGCCAGGCCAATGCCGTATTCTGGTTCGCTTTTGGACGTCCTGGAGCTTGCCGCCAGCATGGGTGCCACCGTCAGCCTCGAGAACCCTTCTCGATCCTGGCTATGGTCAGCGCTACGTGCCATGGCCGAGGAATCCCAGCGTGTGCATCTCCTCGCCCAGCTCGAAGAATGCATCTTTGACTCTTGCATGCACGGCGGCCGCCGCAAGAAGAGCACCAAGATCTTAGGATCCCCCGGCCTTTTCAGCAGCCTCCGGGCCTCTTGCGACTCCTCACACACCCATGCGCCGTGGACCGTTGACCCGACTGCCAGCGGGCCGCGCTTCGCCACTGCCGAGGAAGCGCAGTACCCTCGCTTGCTTTGTTTGCGCATGGCGCAGGCTCTAGCCGCGCGTCACCAGCTCCCCGAGCCTGTGCCTACTGCTTCCGCCAGTCTATCTCAGAGCGTCCGCCGCGGCTCTCGCCCGCTCATCCCCGAGTTCTACGAGTGTGCCCGGGTGCCTGCCGCCTCCCTCTGCAGCCCCACGAGCGCGTGCTGTCTTCTTTGCCATCGGGGGTACCAATCTCCCAAGACAGCATCCCTGAGTCTTCTTCCACTGCATGCGTCAACATCGGCCGACAGTGGAACCCTCAAGACTACTTGAATGCAGCCAAGCAGACCGAACATCCGAGGAATCCTGGCCAAGTTCTCCCAACGGTGCTGAAAGATGCCGTGGACACGGTGTTGACAACCGACCCGGTCGACACAGCAAAACGGCGTCTGCAGGCTGTGATAACCATCAAGCAGCTAGCCAAAGAGCTTGAGGGGAAAGAAGACGAGTTCAAATCGTCCCTGGACCCAGACGTGGCAAGCATCCTCAGTCCCAAGAAACTTTGCCTCTGGAAGGCCCTCCTAAGGCTTCCGACTTCGATGATTGCGAGATCGTTGACTTGATGGCTAGAGGCATTCCTCTTGTTGGGACGCATGGGCCCGTCCCCAATCTAGAACCCGGAGGAGAGCCTTCCTCGGACTCGCCGGACAACCTTCTTGCGTCGGCTCCTCTCAGGCGTGAAGCCATGATTCAGTCTCGTAAGATCCCCAGTGACCAGCATCAGAACGACCTTGTCTCGGCCTCCATGGAAGAGGTCAGCAGGGGCGATCTGAAAGGCCCCCTCACGGAGAGCGATGCCCACCAGCACTTCGGTTCCGAGCATTGGTTACTCAACCCCAGGTTCCCGATTTACCAGGGAGTTAGTCTTAAGCTTAGGGTTATAGACGACGCCAAGGCATCAGGTTTAAACTCTGCCTTCTCCCCGTCGTACAAAGTCAAGCTGATGGACATTGACGTCTTAGCCTGCCTAGTAGCCCACGTGGCCTCAGGCCTGCACTTGGGGCACTGTGACGGGAACCCGGTACACCATCTCGTGGCCTCGTCAGAGTGGGAAGGAGGCACGCTTGACTTGGCCCGAGCATACAAGCAAGTACCGATTGACCCAGCCTCGAGGCCCTTCTGTGTCGTGGGCTTCCCGACCTCGGAAGGGTGGCAGTACTACAGGTCGGACGTGCTTCCATTCGGCTCCAACGCCTCGGTGTACGCATTCCTGAGGATCTCACGTGCGTTGCACCATGTGTTGGTCAAGTTCCTCGCCGCACTTACCACGGTATTCTACGACGACTTTCCCATCATAGAACCGGCCATGGGAGCTCCGGTCCTGAAATCTGCGGTATCGGCCGTCCTCGACTGCTTGGGATGGGCCCATTCCAAAGACGGCGACAAAGCCCTGCAATTCGCCGGCTCGTTCGTCGCCCTCGGGGTCTTGGTCGATCTGAGGGGAATTCGGTCCGCCAAATTCCGCCTATCGAACAAGCCAGGCAGAATCGACAGGCTAGTCGAGATGATCCAGCAGTTCAGCGACGAGGGGCGCGTCGACTCCGGACGGCTCTCGATTCTGCAAGGTCACTTGAACTTCGCCGCCGGGTTCTACATGGCCAAGGGACTACGCTTCCTGTCCAAGGAATTTGCCAAGTTGCTGGATGGGCGTCGTTCCACATCCGAGATCAGAGCTCTGTGCAGGCTTGCCATAGCTCTTCTTCGGGGGACTCCTGAGCGCGAGTTTGACTTGGCCGTCACTGGGCAGCCTGTCATCATTTTCACTGACGGGTCCTGGGAAGGGGGCAGGGCAGGCGCCGGCGGAGTCGTTTTCGACCCAGCCACAGAAGCCACCCAAGTCTTCGAACTGGAAGTTCCGGGTGAGCTCCTTGCGGCATGGCAACAGCAGGTGGGCACTCAGCTCATCTGCCAGATCGAAGCTTACGCTGCAATATCTGCTAGATACCTCCTCCGACATGTCATCCGAGATCGCCTCGCGGTCATGTGGATCGACAACGAAGCATCGAGGGTAGCTCTCTCCAAGGGGACCGCGGACTCCGAGTCTCTGAGAGCCATGGCCAGGGTCATGCAGTCCATCGAGATCTCTCACCCTTCGGTGCTATGGTACGAGAGGGTTTGCTCCTTCAGCAACCCTGCGGACATGCCGTCCAGGGGGGATGCAGAGGCTGCAGCCCGCCTCTTCGGTGGCAGAGTCGTTGACCTCGGCTCAGATGGACCTGTCAGGGACGCGATCCTCCTTGCTGTAAGAGATCCCTACGCCGACCTGGTGGTGTAGGGGTGAGGGCAGACGTGCTTCCAAACAGGGGACATCATCCGCACGTCGATCGCCCCAGCAGTCAAAACATCAGTCCGAGGGAAGTGTACGTGCGAGTGACTGTCTGTGTTGACCTCTTAACTTCGCAAACATATTTGATTGGAGAAACACATATCATCATTTATACATACATATATTTGGATTCGGCCAAATACTCGGCCAAATACCTTTTGAGTGTGAGCCGACGGTTTTCGTCGCAAGCGACGTGTGCGTTCGCGCATGCGATGGCGTTGTCGTGTGCGGCGACAGCGAGCGACCTGCGTTTTGACGCGAGCGAAACCTTAGGCTCATACTCTTTCCTCCCTTCAAATTTTATCATTTAATTTTCGGCACTTGTGCTCGTCTTGCTTTCAACGTGCCTTTGTTCGTTGACATCCTCAGCATGACGAAGTTTTGGGCCCAAGGTCAGCCGAAAATTTCCGTTCACCCGCCCACCACGGCCCTCGGTCACTGTCGTCATAAACTGGCTATGACCCGTGCCCTGGTAGCACGAACTTCTTTTCACCTAGGCCAACTGGGTGCCTAGCCCATCCGTCGACATCATCCGCACGTCGATCGCCCCAGCAGTCAAAACATCAGTCCGAGGGAAGTGTACGTGCGAGTGACTGTCTGTGTTGACCTCTTAACTTCGCAAACATATTTGATTGGAGAAACACATATCATCATTTATACATACATATATTTGGATTCGGCCAAATACTCGGCCAAATACCTTTTGAGTGTGAGCCGACGGTTTTCGTCGCAAGCGACAATGTGCCGAATCGCATCCATCCGACATAACCTCCGAAACTCCTCGATCCATCCTACAAACTGGGACGGCTGCTGTCGGTCCTGAACCTGAACACACGAGAAATGTCATGGCATGCAACCTGGAAGCCTCCCCTGCTGCCCCCGAGTGGGTCATCATCTCGCACAGACTACTGGCTAGCCAGAACGTGCAGAGACATAAACGAGGCTGCCAGCAGGCACGTTAGCCCATATGTCCTGCTGTCATAGGGAGCAGCTCCCCGTTGGCCTCAGAGCCCGAAAATCCCACACAGCGGCCCGCCACACCCGGCTAACGGTGTGGACTACAAGCTGCCCGGCACTAGCAATCCTTCAGGGAAGTGACACCCGGATCACGACGTACAACTACAAGCTGCCCTGCACTACATTCTTCCCTCAAGGAAGCTGTGCGCGAAACAGCGAGTCCTGGATAGCGGCCACACACACGCCTCAACATGCCGGCAAGTGCACAACCTGACTTAAGCATCCCTTTCTGTAATGGCCTCCCCGGCGTCTTTGCAAAGACGAACGTGCTCTGACAGTCATGCGGACCGGAGACTTAGGCCACCCCCATTCGGCCGAGATATGGGGTCACCCCGCTCTGCCATGGGGATGTCAGGCGAAGGCTCTCAACGACCACTAGCGGCTGCAAGCATTTGCCCGCGCTATGCTTATACTTATGCCGCCCTCTGCTCGCGAAGAAGCAGCAACTCGTCGTGGTGGAGTCGAGGCCATGTCATGCATCCTGTCCATCCCAGAGTTCGCAGCGGATACTTCTGCCCCCGACATTGTGTACCTTCTGCTGGACTTGGCCAACAGCTTGGCGCAAGAGCCGAACGTCGGGTCGGCCATGGCAAGAGCGGTAGTCGAATTTAGTTCGACTGTGGCGCGGGTACGTGGCATCAAATGAATGAAGATCAACCGAGGAGCAATCCTGAATCCGTGGAACTGCCTTGCAAAGCAAACCATTCACGAGGTTTGCACATTATCAGCCCCAGTCAACCGTCCCGGCCTGTGAACGAATCACAGTGCACATTCCGGGCACCTTCGCAGGTGCCGGGAGCAGTTCGACCGAAAGATGTTACTGAGCCTCGGGAACCTGCTGCGTCCATTCTGTTTGTTAGCTGCATAGCACTCACAAGGAGGTCTCCAGGCCAAGGTTCAAGGTGTACGCTTTATATAACCGCTCTGGTTGCAATCACCCACAGCGAGTGATCCACACCAGCGGGCTAAGGGAGATCAGGGGCTTACGCGGAGCCTCGCAAAGCCAACGCATGATGGTTCTCTGCTAGCTGGATACCGCTTCGTACAAGGTCTCCAGGCGGCAACACAAGAAGAGAAGGATAACCACGGCTGCGAGTCAACGCAAGGGTTTTCCAGCATCTACGGCAGCTATATTCCGTGAGAAGCAGTAGAGGCCTCTGTGTGTGTGTGTGTGTGAATCCCTGATAGCAAAGGGCTTTTCGGAAAAAGCAGGGGGACTGCCTGATCTGTAGCAGTGGCAGTCCAACGAAGAGGCTGTTACAGATCACTGATATGAGCTGGGGACGCCTGGCTCACGTACCTGCAAGTGCTTCGAGGACGGTTCAATTGTTCCAAGTGATGGTAACCCTTGTCTAGCTACTCTCGCCAGAGAGTTTGCAAGTGTGTTTCCGACCGGCATTCTGTCAAAGGGCCGGGCGTAGCAACTGCTTGACGTCTTGAATGTACAGATCCAGACATTGAATGCCTTGCTTGATCCGCAGCTGTCTGAGTGCATTTGCAGATCATTTGAATGTACCATTGAATGATTGCCACCTTGAATGACTCCTTGAATGATTGACACCTTGAATGATTGACACCTTGAATGACATCTTGAATGATCAATGAATGTCATGAGGCCAGGACCCAAGCCTCAATGGGGCCGGACCCTCACCCCAGACGACGCTTTGCCAGAGGCCAGGACCCAAGCCTCAATGGGGCAGGACCCTTACCCCAGGCGACTTCTTTAAGGGCACCATGACGTAGCTGCGGTGTTGACCTGCGAAACGTCATGGTGACCCTCTGACGACAAGGGCACCATGACGTGGCTGCGGTGTTAACCTGCGAAACGTCATGGTGACCCTCAGACGACGAGTTTCACGCTACTCCTCACAGAGGAGTAGCTGTGTGTGTGAATCCCTGATAGCAAAGGGCTTTTCGGAAAAAGCAGGGGGACTGCCTGATCTGTAGCAGTGGCAGTCAACGAAGAGGCTGTTACAGATCACTGATATGAGCTGGGGACGCCTGGCTCACGTACCTGCAAGTGCTTCGAGGACGGTTCAATTGTTCCAAGTGATGGTAACCCTTGTCTAGCTACTCTCGCCAGAGAGTTTGCAAGTGTGTGCGTGTGCGCGATGGATACCGGTTCTTGTGTAATCTCCAGGCTGCAGCTGAATAACCTAACAATGACCACGGCGCTTAGCAGAAGCAATCCACGAAGACCATGATCAAAAGTTGAAATCGGACTAGGACCTAAAGCTGAAATGGGAACTGTGCAGATCCATTATATTGCGACCACACACAGGGAGGGGGGTCGAGGAGGGGTCCGGGAGGAGTGGAATGGACGCATTACATCAGTGGTCTCCTGCTAGCTGAACGGACAGGCAAGTATGCTTAGAGATGCCACTGGAAGTCTAGCATGCGAATCCAGAAGTAGTGTATGGAAACAGCACATGCCAGCGGGATTCAGGGCCTAATTACTCTTGGTTTGCCAGCAACTTCATTCCAGTGCACTGCGCGGACACGGCGCTGCAACGCTCCCAGAGCAAATGTCTTCTTCATGGGCAACACGGCACAGCTCTTCGTGGTGCTGGTCCGCAAACCATGCACAAATGTTGCGTGCAAGCTGTTCTCCGTCGACCGCGTCCACGGGCTGACCCTGTCCCGCTCCGAGTGTCTTCCCTGCTCGACGTTTAAGAGTTCCCATGGTCTCATGGCGGGGTCGACTCCATCCGTCCAGGGTCGACTCCATCCGTCCGTCATTCGGCATGCCAGCAACCTGTAGAGCCAGCAGGCGCCGGTGGTCGCGAGTCCACCACCTCTGAGTGCGAGTCGTTCCTCTCGCTTCGCTTCTGTTTCCATACATAGAAATCCCTATACATGAGATCGTCAAGTTCCGAAACACTACGATTCGAAAGAATCCCGTTGAGATGCCGAATGGGGCAGGGCAGGAAAGCTGCTTTCAGAATCTGAGCCCAAACTCCGAAATGCAAACCAAGAGAATACAGACAACCTCCTCCCTCCCTGCTGAAACTCAACCGAGGAGCAATCCTGAATCCGTGGAACTGCCTTGCAAAGCAAACCATCACGACGTTTGCACATTATCAGCCCCAGTCAACCGTCCCGGCCTGTGAACGAATCACAGTGCACATTCCGGGCACCTTCGCAGGTGCCGGGAGCAGTTCGACCGAAAGATGTTACTGAGCCTCGGGAACCTGCTGCGTCCATTCTGTTTGTTAGCTGCATAGCACTCACAAGGAGGTCTCCAGGCCAAGGTTCAAGGTGTACGCTTTATATAACCGCTCTGGTTGCAATCACCCACAGCGAGTGATCCACACCAGCGGGCTAAGGGGGATCAGGGGCTTACACGGAGCCTCGCAAAGCCAACGCATGATGGTTCTCTGCTAGCTGGATACCGCTTCGTACAAGATCTCCAGGCGGCGACACAAGAAGAGAAGGATAACCACGGCTGCGAGTCAACGCAAGGGTTTTCCAGCATCTACGGCAGTTATATTCCGTGAGAAGCAGTAGAGGCCTCTGTGTGTGTGTGTGCGTGTACGCGATGGATACCGGTTCTTGTGTAATCTCCAGGCTGCAGCTGAATAACCTAACAATGACCACGGCGCTTAGCAGAAGCAATCCACGAAGACCATGATCAAAAGTTGAAATCGGACTAGGACCTAATGCTGAAATGGGAACTGTGCAGATCCATTATATTGCGACCACACACAGGGAGGGGGGTCGAGGAGGGGTCCGGGAGGAGTGGAATGGACGCATTACATCAGTGGTCTCCTGCTAGCTGAACGGACAGGCAAGTATGCTTAGAGATGCCACTGGAATTCTAGCGTGCGAATCCAGAAGTAGCGTATGGAAACAGCACATGCCAGCGGGATTCAGGGCCTAAATACTCTTGGTTTGCCAGCAACTTCATTCCGGTGCACCGCGCGGACACGGCG